CTTAATTACGTAGGTTTTATAGGTGGCAAATCAACAGTTGCGCATCTATGTGATGATTCTTCAATTCAATTCACAATTCCTGTAAAAGTGTTGATTATTTTTATTGATGTAGCAATGCTGGGTGAGGCTTATTTTCATTTGGAAACATATTGATATCTGTATTTTCCGTCTTACCTGGAACCTCTTATTGAAATCCCATAGCTCTTATCACAAATATTCGAGTTGCCTTCACTTGATTTTAAATTGATATTTCTTGAACGATTTTGAAGCTCCTTGTTAACTGAGATTTGAAACTTTTTTTATTCTCCAAAACCAAATCAAACTTGATGAGTCAGTCTTTTATTCTCTAAAGTTAAAACCTGATCATCCTGATATTTGACTTTACCGTCATATTAAAAAATAAAATTTTTCATAAGGCAAAAATTTATTTTACCGACATTGACAAATTGCACCTTCATTATAACATTCATTTTTAGGTTATTTTTATTCTGAATTCGTATTCGCAATTACGATTTTTCCGGCAGGCATGCATGTGGCTCCATGACATTTCAAATGCAGCACAATAAGCTTTTTTTTGTCGAGATGCGAAAAATTCTATAGAATTTGATATCCAATATTAATATTGGAAAGATATGCAGATATTTTTAAAGCGGTTTGAATATTTTGTGCAGATCATATTTTATATAAATACATTCGTTTGATGATAATTGATGATTTGCGGAAAGGTAAATCTGTTGTATACCCAAGTATATATAGCTTTTTCATTCATTTTCGACAACAAACCGAAGTTTCACGCCATGAGCTTTGCTTCATCTTTTGATGTTCTATATTCTCTTTGTTTTGCATCATTAATCATTTGCATTTTTACCTTGTATATCCTACCTTACATATTCTTGATATATTTTAGTCTTCATTTTCCAGTACGGGAAATACGTACAATTTTGTCCATACGTGGTATATATGGACAAAATGACACAAAGGCCTTGTTTAAACATTGATTAGTTTTATTAACGTGTTTGTAATTGTATACACGAAGAAAGCCATAATCATAATCCTATCAGGTATCGAGCGTCATTGTCGCAGTAATCAGTTCAAACGTTATGCGCCTTGAAAAATTAATTTTGAGGGTGTTTTTTGGGACTTATTTATTGACATTCGTAATTATTGTGTACTAGTGATTTCGATCAGTTCTATTGTAATAATCAAGTATTTTGTCGAAAAAATTATGCCCTTTTTCAATTTTGGACAAAAATATACTTATACAAGGGACAAAATGACATTGTACTATTTCGAAAGGGTCAAGAAAAAAAATTAAATCTGTCAAAATTTCTACTCCAACTATGGTAGAAATAAATGCTAAAAACTTGTTTTTAGCCTCACACAGGCCTCATGTGCTAATGTCCCAAAAAGAACGAAACCATATATTTGTGAACTACATTCTTAAAAATTAGCATCTCAGTATTTTCTTACCCTATATGTCATTTCGTCCGTACTATATGGACAAAATAAATATGTTATAGTGTCTACTCAAATAAAATACTGTCTTACTGGTAATAAAAGAAACAAAGATGAGTAAAAATCATTAGGTTATGGTTTATGATGTAATTAAAAAAATAATTATCATTAAAAAACAAAGCACCGTATTATTTTATCCGTACTTCCCCTCCTAGTTTCAGAGTTTTTGGAATATGTTATTAGCTTTTGTTTCTTTATGTATGAATCTTCACACCCCAACCGTAGTAGTTTTCATATTTGGCTCAAAATAGTTTGTCTCGATGGGCCTTTTCCATGTCTTTTTTTATTATTTAGGTTTGGATAGGACAAAGAGCAAATGCCAAGCTGATGCAAATTATTAATATTTGAGCAGCAATAAATATATTATTTTATTACGCTGTAAATAAAGCGCATATAACGAAAGAAAGTTTTTCTCGCAACATCGTTTCTATGTATCACTCCCGCGGGACGACCTACGGGTTTTCGCACGGCCGCGCAGTCCACGTACGTTATCTCGCTAATTAACATTTATTGTTGCTGCTGCGGTGGCTTTAATCTTGATTAAACATAATTTATTTGTTTTTCTATTAAAAGTTAAGTCGATAATTACTTGCACGATAATTGTCAGTCATCATTTCACTTTCGACGCGATTTTAATTGCGACTAAACACACAAACTTCAGTGTGAACTTGCGGTTTTAATGACCTGTGTAGTACATCTACTGCATCATAAACACGTATTTTACCCCGAAGGCATAATAGAATGCGTTATAATTATGGACTGTTTTGTTGTCATTATAATATCGTGCTTCAATAATATTTTTGTTTGCGAAATATATAATTTAGTTAACACTAATAATATGTTGAAATAATGTTATTATATTACGATCATCAATTCTATTTACTTTAGTTACAATTTACAATTTCAATATATTTTTTCCGTTCCGGTTTCTAGCAATTTACAATTACTTATTGTAAGATTTTAATTTAACCAAAGCTCATTTCAATTTTAAATGAAAATCTTATGTATCAAGCGTGAAGGTACAACACTAGTCAATGTAATTACTAACAGAAGATTTTAATTTCTATCACCGTTAGCGATAGAATAGAATTTCATACACGTATATATTTTTAATAGTACTATCTTTTCTGTTATATCAACACATTGTAACTATTTGTGCAAAACTGTAAATATTGTGCTATAAAAATTATTACCCATAAAACAAGAATTAAATTCGTAGATGGCAACATTTATCACATTGATAATATGAAATTTACATCGGTTATTAAAGTAATTTGGTGATGTATGTAAAAAACAAAAGAATTTGGTTATACAATCTATCAAAATTTTCTGGAATATCATCAAATGGGGGTTCAATCAACTGCTTATACTATAGAATTTAAAAAAATCATATATACAATTCTGTAAATACCATTGTACCATATTTTTTTTTTACTTATGGTATAAGATTTACACAGTTACTGCATTACTACATTTTAGTTCGTCGATAATATTGATCACATTTATAATCTCAAATATGCATAAACATCTTCAAATAGTTTATTTTTTAATAATTTAATATTTTTGTTTCGGTTGAAAATCTTCTGTATCATTTTGTCATATTTGCGTAATGTGTTATTCGTTTTTATGATTCTTACATACTAGATTTATTATATTTAAAAATGACATTTATAATTCTATATGCCATGATAATGGTCTTGACCAAACATGACATTTCGGTGATGTTACCTATAAATAAAAACAGATCAATTTTAGTAATGTAATTTATATACAATTCTTTGAAATTTCCTGAAACATGTGGAAAATATGGGTATGTAAACTGTTATTGTTAATACTATGGAATAATATAAACCATATAGCTTATAATTATGATTACATTATAATTATAAAATAATATTTATGTATAAACATATATGTCAACATGTATGTCAAGTAGTAGTGACATCGGTTTTCATTTGGAAACAGAGCAATATTTGTCCAAGTGAAAATAGTTTTTATCGGCATTGCTGTATCAAAAAATCATCAATATTACAGAAATTGTAATTATAAAAAAATTATCATGGAGTTGGAACAACTGTGTGCGTTTGCCACGTATAAAAATTGATGTAGTTATATAAAATTATCAGAACAGCTTATAGAACCTATTATAATGTGCGGCATATATTTCCCAATGTAACGTATCTCATAAAAGTCAAAATTTGGGGTCAAAATCGAAAAATATTAAATAAAACCAAAAAATCTTCAATCTGGTAATTCTTCTGGATAACAAAGTCTTATAATTTGGGGTCCTTTTTACCTTAAATGACTTAAGTATTCACTTAAAATGATCTACTGAATTTTTAGATTTCAGCAGTAAAATTTGCAACATATTTTTAGATATTCAATTGCAAATAAGCTTGCAGATTACCCAGTGTCAGTCGGGAATAAATACGTTTGCAAATTATTGCTGAATTATACAAAAACACTCTATATATCATTCAATTAAAACTCAATAGTAATTTAAGGTAAAAAGGGCAAAGAAGCGACCGAAATTATAAGATTTTATTTATAATGGACAAGAATTACCAGATCGGAGATTTTGTCGTTCTTTTATTTTTTCCGATTTTTTGGTATATGATTTCTCATACATATGCCAAAACGCATACTAAATATAGACAACTTTTTTTGTGGACCTGTGTAATTAAAAAAAATCTAATGAGTAATTAATATTATTTTAGTTAGAAGTGAGTTAATAACGTCAATATCTTGTACAGTTGTCATAGTAATTTGGCTATGTTTAATTAATTCGCAATCATTCGTAATTTTATAGGACATAATCAAATGAGGGTTTGTAGTCTGTAATTGCTTACACTATATAATGATGTGATATGAACCATATGCATTATAATATTTATGTATAAACTGAGTTATTATGTATGTGAAATGAGTAGTTATGATTATTTTAGATAGATGCAAGTTGATGATGTCAATATCCTCCTGTATTCGGATCAAATATTCTGTATCGCGAATAGTTGAGGTCAGAATTGAATGCAAATGAAAAATTCAGTCTCATTCGTAGATGACTACCAAGATTGATTAGTATTCATTAATGTCTCCATACACTGACTGACTGGATGGGTTCCGTATGTGTTGGCACAGAGGGCATTGAACAATAGAACGACCGGAAACTAATATAATATCCGTTATGTTGCGTTCGCTGTCCCATTGTCAGCTCCGTATAGAGCTTATGCATTATTACTTCTAGGGTTGTGGTTCAATGCTTCCATTGTACCGAACAGAATTTCGATAAGTTTCGAATTAATCCGCTCAATTCGGTTTACTTCAATTTTGCTGCGAAAATATTTTGATCTGATACTCTACTAAATTTCCAACCAATATCATCACGTTTCATTCACTGTAAGCTTACAATTTCTTATATCCCATGTTGTATTTTGATTCCACGTGTCTACTTTTTATATCTATTAATGTTTTATTTTTCTTTTCAGAGAGGTAGTGACGAACTGTTAGCGCAGACAGCTATTATGGCTCCGGCTTCCGAAAACAATATCCAAGATTCGGCGACGAAAAAAGTGAAATTGGAAGGTGCCACAAACAAACCTTCGCGCGTTATTCACATTCGTAACATACCCGCTGAGTCATCGGAAGCTGAGATCGTCCATTTAGGTGTCCCATTCGGCCGTGTCACTAATGTCTTGGTTCTCAAAGGGAAAAATCAGGTCGGTGAAAATGGATTATTTCTATAGAAGTATATATAGTAGAAAATAAATCTCGGTTTGCTTACCTGTGTAATTTGACTGGGATCGCAGACTAGCACGAATTAAAGTTAATTTCTTAAATATTTTTTGTGCAAATACTCATTTTGTATTGCTAAATAATACACTCTAAAGACCGTTTGGTAGGATAATTTACTTCAATTGGAATTATATATCTATAAGATTTAAAAATTTATCTTCATTTTTACAAACTTGGTGAGATGTAGTTAATTTTTATTATTGACTCTTTTATTTACAACTGTCCAGTAAAGGACATTCAGTAAATTTGATGAATTTACAATAGTCGGCCGAAAAGGGACATTGTACACTACATTGGCATGTTGGAAAAAACAACTCAGTAGTTGTTTTTTCCATTCGATATAAAATTCACAATATTTTATTGATAATTATATAATTTTAACTATTTACTTATTGTATAATTTCTTATAAAAAATGATTAAGTTATTTCCATTTTTTTTTTCAGAGATGTAGTTAATGCAAACTACTTTTAGATAAATTTTGATCAAGATTTTTAATTAAAATTATTAAACAATTAGTCAATTTTACAATTAGTTTACTCATTTATTAGTAGTTAATAAATATTCAACAATTAGTTTTTTGTGCAATAACAATATTAATAATGATGATAAAAAAACTTAAAAAGTAATATTTAAAAAACTTAAAAAAGGAATGGATTATGTATCTTTTCTGCAAAAGGATAAAATTATGTAGAAATATTTTAGAAATTGAGAAGCAAAAATTATTTACCTGCAATATTGATCTATATATCCATATCACTAGTTTTGTGTCAAATGGTAAAAAGAATGATTGAATATTTGAAAATTTTGACTTGATATATGGCTGTATTGGAATTTTGTCACACAGATATAGGGCAAATATACAGGAAGGTCCAAAGCGAAAATTATTTTATTTTTTGCACATTGACGAGAGGAAAACGGCCCATATTTGATCTTAATTAATATTGTTTCTCAATTTCTAATTTTTTCTATAGTAATTAATAATTATTAATAATTAACTAATAATTTTATCTTTTTGCAGAAAAGATGTATAATTCATTCTCATTATCAATAATATTATTATTTCATAAAAAATATTTTTGTCAAAAAAAACCTGATGATGGAACGTATCTATTCCCGAAACGACGTAATTAAACAACTGCAAAAATCTAATTATTCGATCAATTTATTAAAAAATCCAGGAATTATTCATATAATATTTATCCAAATAATTAATCTCAATTGTTATTTGGTCCTTACGTTTCCGTATTTGATTCTTAATCTCGATAGTCATTGGATTCTCGGTACATTCAAATTTTCTGCGAATGCTGACAAATATGTCGATTATTCAAGAAAAGTTGGTTCAGTAAGCTATTTCGGCACGACAATGAGAAATTAATTAACTTTTTAAACGATGTCTTTGCTTTGAGTGCACTTAAATCGTGAAGAAAATAGATGACTCGAGATGGAAACCGTCTCCCGTGGTGACATCGCATAATATCAGATAAGAGATCTTCACGTCGATTTTCTATTACGCGTTTTGTTGAGTTATTTCGCTTACATTCTCTGAACTCTATCGCGTTTTCCAAATATATATGGAACTCTGTCTGCTTTCCTGCCTTATCGCGACCGCGTTCTTTCACAATTGAAATGGTGGTACATACAAAATAAATAACAATATAATTTATTGATTTAATAAATAAAACCGCTCTTCAGAATTTTTAATTCTACTTCAACATTATTATCAAAACAAATAAAATGATAGCAGTAAATTTTAATCTTTTTTTTTCAATGTAGAATCGAACATACTATTTTCTTTCGGTATATAATGGGTTCATAACAATAAACCTTACATTCATGCTTTTGGTATTATTCCACTTCCTAAATGTTGCACGGTCATGTGATAATCTATTGTAGTTTTTCACTTATTTTCAGTGAGCTTGTGAGGCGTAAGCTGTATAGGGTGAAATTGACAGGGGTGTAAAAATACTGTTATAAAAATGGAGAAAATAATTTATGGCATTCCAATGCTTTATACTGAACCTTGTATATACTCGACACATTTCTAGCTGTATTCATTATTCTTTTCTTCACTAAAGATTAAGTTGAATTTTTTTTACTCAAAATTTTACTTCAATCATCATAATTCATAACTCTGTGTCCTTCTTGTTTATTTTAATTTTTAATGTATTTGGGAAACAGTCATAATTGTGTATATACGTCAACTTACATATAATAAATTGAATATCTAAGTATAGGAGATGTGTCAGATTACATGATAGTTCTAATTTGAATACCTCTGATTTCGATGCGAGTATGATTATAGTGATTTGCTGTAATTTAACTCCAGGTATACAAGTTATACAGAACTAATGGATAGTACATTTATACCCCTTTCTGAGCAAATAGTGACATAACTGAAAACTGTTATGCAAACTTAGTCCTGCGCTTCGATATCCGTTAATTAATTATAAAGCGAGGCTTGGGGCGCTAACTTGGCAGATAAATCAATGATTGAGGTCTCTGGTCTATTTCATAAACAAGTTAATAATTTGATCGGTTATTACAAAATTATCAAATTATGATGTAAAATTGTCAGTACTGTAAAATATATTTCAAATAATATTGACATGCTGCTTCCGTGTTAATAAAGATTAGGGGATGTATTTTTAGAGACAGTTTTTGATAGGTTTTCTATTTATTTATTATTTGATGATTTTACCGATCCAAAATTTATAATTACGCGAACTTAGTTAGTTGATTTAATTAATATAGCAATTAAAATTGATGTTAAACTGCGTTTTGTACTCAATTTTACTGTGTTTACAAAATCTGTATTGAAAGATTACTGATATACTAAATTTAAAATACCTTTTTACTATATTTGTACAGGGTGTCCCAGAACTCGACGTCAAGCCCAAACGAGGTGATAATAGTATATTTTTTGTCCGATTTTTTTATTATATAAACTATCAAGTATTTTAGTATTTTACAATCCTGATTAAATGCGCTAACTGAATTGTTCATGTTATGATTGATCTTTTCTAATGTTACATTTATTACGGTTGCAGTACCAACCTCAACTGGATTTCAGAGGTCCAGTGACATAGTACAAGGTTAATCCCATACAAATAAGCTATTCGCGATTGCACACATAATTTCGATCGATATTATTCCGGATCCCAAATGCGCGTAACGGCTCTCGGCTCATCTGTGGCAGGCAACCCGTTTGACAGGCCCGACGCCCCCCAAGCCACGAACCATGAGCCACGGGCCGGAGCGTAGAGGTAGCCGTCGGGCTTAGCTTAGAGCCGGTCGGCCGGCTTGCAGCGGATTCTGGCTCCGGAAGCGCCGTAACGCAGTTTGCCTGCCAGCCTATTTCAGCCCCGCATTTCGTGTCGAGCGGCTTAATCAATAATGGAAGGCTTACGTAATTCGCAAAAATTAAATGAATTATTCAGATTCCTCGCGCTAGAACGATCACGGAATGCAAAGAGAAACACCAACCATGAGAAGATTTTAAGTTTAGGAAATACAAATGCAGTCCATTCGTTTACAGCGTTATGATAAATCAGCAGTTGTATCACGTGCTTCTTTTCCAAGTGTTGTTTTACCTAAAATGTATATGCTCGCCGGTTGTAATATGTAAGCGCGACGCTTGAACCGCTGAACAAAATACATAATATAAAAATAATGACGTAGACATTTTGCATCCCTACGTAATACAACAGGTTTTTGCTTACATTTCAAATCGTATTAAATGTATAATACTCTGTCTGGATCGTAATTTTTACATCATCAAAAAATATTTCAATACACATAGGAAATACGTGATCCACTCAATTTTTGCATATATATATATATATATATATATATATATATATATATATACGAGGTCTGTTCAAAAAGTACCCGGAATTTTCGTTTTTTCAAAAAAATATTTATTTATTCGTCTACATTAATGTGGTCCCCTTCAAAGTAGTCCCCCCCAGATATAATACACTTATGCCAGCGTTTTTTCCAATTTTCGAAGCACCCTTGATATTCACTTTTTGATATGTCCTTGAGCACTCTCAGCGATTTTCTTCAATCGAGGAAAACCGCCGTCCTTTCATGGGTCTCTTCAACTTTGGGAATAGGAAAAAGTCACACGGAGCCATATCTGGTGAATTTTTGCACTTTGCAACACTTTATTTCATTTTTTACGCAAAATTTAATACAAATTCTTTGACTTTTCAATTCTTCCATTGTAAAAATCGCCGAGCTCAGAAAAACACGTCGAACCTTAGCGACTACCACAGACAAAGTAAACAGTGAATATAGCTGAAAATTTCATCATACTTTAGGGGCATGTATACCAACACAATAAAAAAAAAATTTTGACAATCAGACACTCCAGACCCGCGAAATTTAATTATTAGTAATTCCGGGTACTTTTTGAACACACCTCGTATATATATATATATATATATATATATATATATATATACTAGCCGGCCCGACAGACTTCGTCCTGTCAAAAAAAATTGTAATGTGGCGGTGTTTTGTGCCTACCTTTTTTCTATTCTTTGCAAAAAATTATCCTGAACAGAACCGTCACCCTGGTAATAATTCGGTGTGAATTAAAAATAATTAAATAAAATACTATAAGCATTTAAAAGTAAGTAACTTTAATAATGTAAATCATAATTCAAAAATCAGTTCAATTTTCATTGTAGTGCTTTGATTACCTGGCGCATAGACAAACAAATCTGATGGTTTTCCAATACGGGAACAAACAACACACAATTTTCCATGTGAGAAACATGGGTTTTCTAAATTAATACCATCCTTTGAATATAGTTGGTCGATATTTTTTTTTTTAACTTTTACTGAAGATTGTGAGGTGACAATCCTAGCAAATCCATCAGCGAGTTTAAAAACTCCGGTGGGACGTCTTGGTTAGTTGCCGAATCAACTGATTCGCCTGTAATTTGTTCTTGAATTTTGAAATTTAATTAATTTACATCAATGTTTTTGGCTGTCAATATAGCTTGATTAATAGAAAGATATTTCTATGTTTATATAAATATATTCAAAATTAGATTATCAAAAACTACACAAAATGTCATGACAAAGATCATTGTTTTTTTTACAAATTGCGTTGCCTACTCGATTAAAGAAGAAAAGGGCTGTTTTTAGGGTTTTCCCGGCATTATTCGTTTTTTTCTCGCCGTAACAACCATCCTTGGACTTCATCGAACATTTTAAAAAAAGAATTGGCCAAATTGGTCCAGGCGTTGTTGAGTTATGCGCTTACCAACACATTTTGCGATCCATTTTTATATATAAGATATATATATATATATATATATATATATATATATATATACATCTACTTACATACAGATATACATACATTTATACTCATATAATACGCATACATATACATACATACACATACATACACGTAGACTTTATAAAAACTATGATAATTAAGTAACATGAAATAATACTTTGGTTAAATAATATGACTTTGGTGATAAAACTAATTGCACAAAATATTATGGCCTCAAAACTTTGTTGACGCATATCGAAAAAGTTCAAACTGCCGCAATACTGATTGACTTCTTTGGCTAGTCTATTTAAAGGGCTATTGTGCACGTACTTTTTTGAGGATTTTGCTGTATACATTAATCTATTGGATCAAAGTCCTGGCCTTGGAATGACAAATTGTATCTTTGCTGAGAGTTCTGGTGATTCAATAAAGCCGTTTACTATCTTGTAAAAGAAGAGCAAATCCGTGATTTTTCTACGCGCGGTAAAGGTGTTATTACTGCTTTTCTTTATGATGTCATCAGCGTTGCATTCTCATAGCATTTTATAGTAGGCAAAGTTCAACACATATTTCTCAAACTTATACTGCACCTTATTCAATTGTTCAGTGTTTGGAGACCAGACGATTGAACAATAGTCCTGAATAGGTCTGATTAGGGAAGAATATAGACAGTGATATATATAGACATATATATATATATATATATATATATATATATATATATATATTGATTGTTTCTTTTCCGAACAGTAAATCCAATAATAAAAAACAATTTGTTTTTTGAAGATGTTTAATACGACGTTTCGGAACTAGGTACGTTCCATCATCAGGTTTATTCTGTCAAATACAATGTTTTTTAAAATACTGATTAACATTAATTAACAATGGTCAATACAGATTAATTAGAAAAAAATTTTGTTATAAAGGAATGGATTATGTACCGGATAGATAGTAATAAGACTTAACTAAAAAAGGTTTTATATAAAATTGAGAAGCGAAAATTATTTACCTGTAATAATTTATATATCCATATCACTAATATTTTTTTTGTTAAAAACACTCGATTTTTTTGGAAGATATTTGTAGATGTTACGACTACACAAGACTTAAACACACTGATATGGATTTCTGTCTGCCAGATGTAAAGGACAAAGCACGGAACTCTTGGCAAAAATGATTTTTTATGGCTCTTGTTTGGTAATTTACGAAAAAAGGAAAAATATTGCTTTAGTAAATGTTGAGAAATATTATGTATATATATATATATATATATATATATACATACATACATGAACATGTATATGCACACTTACATACTCATACATACATATGCACATATCTATATATTAATGTATCCACAATTATACAAAAAACAAATTGTTTTTTATTATTGGATTTACTGTTCGGAAAAGAAACAATCAATATATTGAAAAAATCCAGGACTTATCTATTGAATATATATATATATATATTATTGTCTACACACACACACATCTATATATATATATATATGTGTGTGTGTGTGTATTTTTAATATATTTGATCATAATTACAGTTTTAACCACATATCAGAATTAATAAGTACTAACCTACAAAGTCGTAGTTCATAAATGATTAATTTTGATTCCAAATATTCACACGTATATTTTTTTTTAATTACAGGCGTTCTTGGAAATGTCTGATGAAAATGCTGCTACTGCTATGGTTGCCTATTTCAATAACTGCTCGGCACAGCTGCGTGGTCGCGCCGTGTACGTTCAGTTTTCAAATCACACCGAATTGAAAACGGACAAGACCCATTCCAATGCCGTAAGTTTAAAGAGTTAATTAATTAATGAAGAGTATAATGAAAGTTATTTTATTTATTATTTTTAATTTTTTTCTTGTACCTTGCTGGTTATATACCGTGCATCGGTATATGTACATGTCATAATGCCAACCAGCAGGGTACAATTGATACAAATGATAATGATATTTTCTGATAATTTTCTGATCTTCAGGTATTTACTGTTTATTTTTGTATGATTGCATATGTAGTGCATAATAAGTTTATAGTAACAATTACTATGAAAGTATTTGTATTTTGTGAAAAAAGCTAAATCATATAAATATGTCATTACGTTAAAGTGTGAAAATCCCACTCTGATTGGTTCTAGTTTATTTATCCTCAGAGCGCGTCCGCTCAAGCTGCCTTACAGGCAGTCCAGGCGTTCCCTGCTCCATCAGTAGCTGGTTCTCCGTTACCGGATGGTAGTGCCGGTGTTGTAGGTGGACCTAATACCGTGTTGCGAGTCATAGTTGAAAACTTGTTATACCCTGTTACACTCGACATACTGCATCAAATTTTCCAGAGATTCGGCAAAGTCTTGAAGATAGTCACCTTTACCAAAAATAGTACGTATTTGCAAATGAATCAATGTTAATTCCAACCGATATTGATCTATTTATTTGTTTGGTTTACAAAGATCTCATATGCGAACAGTATTATTTTCAAAATTGTTCAATTAATTTATATTTTTCAGACTCTTTCCAAGCTTTAATCCAATATCCCGACGCAACAACGGCACATAACGCGAAAACGGTATGTTTTTATCGATTATAACTTAAAACTTAAAAAATATCTTCGAATTAAAACCAAAATTTCATTATTTTTCAGGCACTGGACGGCCAAAATATTTACAACGGATGCTGCACACTGCGTATTGATTACAGCAAGATGCCTGCTTTGAATGTTAAATACAATAACGATAAATCGCGAGATTACACAAATCCTTCACTGCCAGCCGGAGAGAACGGCCCAGAAATTGTCGGCCCGCTCGCTGGTATGGGCGGGTTGGTCAGTGCAGGTGGACTGTCTGGAGAACTTTTGCTGCTGGCAGCAACTGGACAGCGGCCTGGCCTTGGCAGAGAACGTTTAGGTACAATCATGATAAATTTGAAATAGTAGCATCTACAGAAAAATTAAACTACTACGTAAAACGGCATTGAATTTGTACTGTTAGATATAGTACGTCACTGTTCCGGCGCTACTCGATCGATAGTGCTGCAAGTAATTTTGGGTTTGTGGTTTGCAAACAAAATATCTCAGTCACTCTATAAAAGAGTTTTATAGAATTTATGGACATTTATGTTGAAACTATTTATGAGCTTAATTTATTACTAATTACATGTATATAAACTTTTAAATGTTTAGCTCCTCATTCATAGAGATGAATTTAAATTATTCTGTCTTTTCCATACCTGACGAGCGATTTCTTTTTTAATTACAGCCGGTCCTGGTGTATTACCTCCATTTGCCCTTGGCTTAGGGTCACCTTTAGCTGGCGGCTTTCCGAGCGGTCTGGGCACTCTCGGCGGTGCTTTCGCTCTAGCTGGAGGAGCGCTAGGCGCTGCAACGACACCTCCAGTTCTTAGAGGAATATCGACTGTCTTGCTCGTTTCGAACCTTAATGAGGAGGTACGTATTACACCATTTCATTTCAAATTTTAAGTTTTCATAACACTTATAATTGTTTTCAATATTAATTTGCTATATTAGATCAAGACGTCTTAATAGATTACAAATAGTTTTCGAAAAACAAAAAATAGTTTGTTAAATTTGTTTTAATATTTTTTTAAATAGTACTGAATTGGTTAATTTACTTAAATCTATTGGAATTACTTTATTATTAAATTTGAAGATTATTTTACTGATCTGATGTAAATCGATTTAACGTTAAAATTAAATATTTTTCTAAAAATAATACACGTTTTACAACTTAGATAAATTTATTTAGAGATTCACAGCAGTCTATATTTTGATGTTACAATATTTATTTTTTACTACGTAATATTTTGAAATTTGAAAACATTAGTTTATATATGACTATATTATTCATTTAAGCATATTGTAAATAGCTCCCATCGACAGACTCATACATTAAAACACCTGGCATTTTCGGCATAAACACAAACTCTTTTATACTGTAAAAGTTACAAGAAATTATTATTGATCACTTGCTTATTAAGTAGATCTGCTCATTTACGCTTTTACTAGTTCTTGTTCGTGTAAGCGTCTATGTTTCTTTGAGGAGTACTTATATGAAGAATCCAAACTCAGAAATTACTATTTTTCTTGCCAAAAATATTAGCTAGATTATTGTTTCATAATATTATAACCGATTTGTATAAAGTACAACTTTATAAGTTTAGGATTCCGATTTAGGATATATTTCTTCTTTCGGTCTACCGAAATATGTTGTCAGCTTATTCGCATGCGATCCGCATGATACTTATCTCTAATAACTTTCACGTAACGAGGTGCGTATGCAAGTTAAGCCTAAACTGTACGCCTATCATCTCTGGAGTTGAAGAGGATTTTTACTTCATACACTTGACTCTTTCAGATTTCTTTATATTTACTGACTCCTTTCAGATATTTTACTTTCTTCTCCAATTCTTGTTAAAATCTCTTCTTATTAAAGATTTCATTTCTAATTACTCTTTATTTTTTAGAAAAATAATCATTTATAAAAAATATAATTGCCAATATTAAAAAAATATGTTTGTAAATTTTATTCACACTACGATATTGAAATATTTAGTATAAAATACGAACGTAGTTAGTTTAATATTGCATGGAATAAGTATTAACTGATCATCGTATAGTTATGTATATAATATATAAAATATAGTACAACTGTTTTTTTTTGTCCAAAGCTTTATTAGTGTGTAATTTACAAAATTTAGTATAAGTAATCATGTTATTTTAATTAGTGACTGACTAGATTTCGACGTCTTGGTATTATGAATTAATTGATAAAATATTTTTAAATTGATAAAATTTAAATTAAACCGATCAGAATGTTAATTGGCATTTTTTTCAAGCATTTTTTTTTTTTGTAAAATTGACTACCGAACGTGAATGTCACAATTAGCTGCAAGTGACTATCGATCGTTCGTCTACTAACACTGTATTAACGTATGAAAAGCGTTTGTGTTTAAACTCAGTGCCGACTTGGACATGGACCTATTGCTCCTAAATCTATAAGTCACTTTTGTAACCCTTTCTACTTGTAATCATTAGCTTAACTTACTGTCTCGCTAACTGTCGTGTTCTTGTTCTGTAGATGGTCACCCCTGATGCTCTCTTTACCCTATTCGGTACGTGTGCACATTTACATTCTACTTGTTTACTATTTATACTTGTATTTATACTAGAGTTGTGATGCTATTTTAAAAAATAACAGATTCAAAATTTAAAAAAAATATTTATCCATTTTCAAAATATGATTAGAAAAACATTTTTTCAAGCTATTGTAGAACAGTATTTGGTGTTCCCTTTAAAATAGCATCATTATAGTTTTGTATACTCATCACATAAAAGTATTTCTTTGTATTAATTTTATTTATTTTAATTTAATTTTAACCTCTATCACCTTTTATAACAAATTATTAATTCTTCTTCCGGCTTGTAATGTTAGATTACAAAACTTACACCATAAGTGTGATATTCAGTAGAGAAAATACTTTTATGTGTACATATATACATATATGCATATATACATATTTATTTGCGTATACATCATATTCACGAAAATTGAAATAATGTATATGTAAGTTGACACATGCATATGTATGTAGCTACATATTTATATGCATATATATATATATATATATATATATATATATATATATATATTTGTCTATATGCTATATGCTATATTATGATCTGCGCATACACCTTGCACATGTATATGATCCTTTGTCATATGTATGAGCCGGTGTATTTATATATAGTGGTTTGTCTTATTTTGCATCTTACGATTTCTTTAAGCTTTATTTCATGTCATTTAGTGCTTTCGTGTTCTTCTCTATTTGGATTTTTGTTGCTACAGTATTTTGATATGACACTAAAAACACTTCATTGTAAATTTTGTTTTTCATAAATCCTATCTCTTAGCTGTTTTATTTTCTTTGATGATTGTTATTTATAAATATATTTTTTTGCAAACCACTGTATATTAATGGATTATTAATTTTAAAGTTTATTTATAGTTATTTATAAAAAGAAATGATAATATATAAAATGACTATATTATAATTTTTAATTTTCAATTTGATTACTTGATTTTGGATATTTACATAAGATAATAGGTCAAAAATTCGTGAATACATATTTTTTCAATTTATAACGGTCGTTTTCAGAAATCTATCCGCAAGTATCAGATTAACCGTTTTTAAATTAAATAAATCAGTAGTAATGTTCGAAATTAAGTCCCAATAATAAAACTAAAATTTAACGGTAATTTTGCTGCAACGCCGTTCACTGACAAATTGCTGTAAAGATTTATTAAATTTTTTTATATTCCAAATTTCGGATAGAAGTACAAGCTCTGTTACATCTATCGACCTTTTCATCTTCATTGGCTAGATTTCTGAAAATTCTCAAACTTTTCTAAATAATTTTTTTGGATTTTTCAGTATGCGATATATCAAATTTATTTTTTACAATATCGCATGCATAAAATTCTTTGCTGTTTTTTATTTTATTTTTTATTTTGATGTAACACCAAATCATCTCACATGATGTAGTTTTGTTTCTGTTAAAGCACTTTTTATTGGTGTGAGAACTGAAGTGAAAAATCCAAAATACACGTTATCCAACAATATGTGCAATCTAGTATTGCATGTATAAAATTATACTTTACCATTGTCTATTAAAATCTTGAAAGTCCAAATGTTTAAAGTTTATAATTTCATTTTAATTACGTTGAGGAATTACAATTAGATCGGTACTTGAACGCGTATATCTCAAGTAGCAAAAACTAATTTAATCTTAATCTTTCTTTAATTATTCTATCTAATAATTAATAATTTATATTGATGTTTTATAATTAATTTGAATATATGTTTTTTATCTAATTTTTGGAATCTCTTGATTTTAATAGTGTATACTGATGAGTTTTACCAAAACATTCTAATTTTTAGACACTATTGCACTTCGAATAGATCTTTTCAAATTGCACATATTAACATTTTTATTTATTTTTACTAGGAGTGTACGGAGATGTGCAGCGAGTCAAAATACTGTACAACAAGAAGGATTCTGCTCTTATACAACTGGCTGAGCCCCATCAGGCTCATCTGGGTAAGTTGTAAAGAAAACTCGGTTTAAATCTTTGGTGATATACACATGACATCCAGTATTTCGACTTTTACTCCGACATTTATTGCCTTGAGTTAAATTATTGGGAACTCTAATTGCAATTTATAATACTTTACAAATGTGTTTTTTTAGTTTTCAAATACGTTTTTATTGATAATGATTATATGTTGTTATGTTTGGTCCGTTCAGTAGCGCTTCTGGGCGGTTTGCTGTTCCGTACAGCAGTCAGTTTAACGTAACTTCTGCGTTTAAACACTGCCGTAGCGGTTGAAAATTAAAATTCTGAAAAAACACTTAGAATTTTGAGGATCGATATTTACAATTTTGACGACTTCAAATTCAAGTGGTAATTGGAAAAAACTGATAGTTGTAAGCATAAATTTACTGCATAGATATATTTTGTGGATAAATTAAATCTATGTAATTTTCATGGAATCTGATGGATCGAGTGAATTCGATGATTTTATCATCGATTATTACATTTTTCGTAGCAATCACCCATTTGGACAAATTGCGGCTGTATGGGAAGGCAATGAGAGTGATGAGCAGCAAGCACCAGAGTGTTCAGTTGCCGAAAGAAGGTCAGCCTGATGCTGGTCTCACACGGGATTATTCGCAGAGTACGCTGCATCGCTTCAAGAAGCCGGGATCGAAGAATTACCAGAACATTTACCCACCAAGCGCGACTTTGCATCTCAGCAATATTCCGTAATTATATAAATTTTATTTTAAAAGCGTTTGAAAACACTATATTAACTTTTTTTTTTTAAATAAAGCTCTACAGTCACAGAAGAGGAAATACGCGAAGCCTTCGTAAGGAACAACTTCCCAATCAAGGCCTTCAAGTTCTTCCCGTATGTATTGCTATTTTTCAATTCCATTTATATCTTATGTGTTTTATTGCTTTGCAAAGCAGTCGTAATTTTTATAAAAAGTATCTTCTGGCAGTATTCTAGTATAGAAGTTTTAAGTAATCTTTTTTTTTAAATATATTTTCAAAGTTTGATTATTCAAGAATGTGTATACAAAAGGATGTTTCTTGAAACTGTCTTGTCTTGATACGATATCTGCGATTTCTCATCTTTTACTTCAAATTTTAACAAAGCCATTTTTATAGGATTTTCAGTTTGAGCTATGATCATACACAAATTCCAATTTTTACTATTATTTAAAAAAATTAAGAATATCAAAAAAATTCTATTTTTTTTTTATTCAGACATTTGCTTTCTCATGACTTTTTTTTAACATGTTGGTAGTTCATATGACTACGACATTATTCTATATTAATATTTATTTTTATCTGATTATTTGGAGGGCTGAAAACAGGGCTATTACGTGCCAATTTTTGTTGAGACCCCCTACTTTATCACCTGCTAGAATTAGAACTTTTTGGCTAATTTTAATTTTTGTATTCTTAAAGTATTAACTAATAACTTATAAAAAAATGGATAATAATAAGATTATTTGCTTTTCATTCATGCCTCTAGACTAGAATAATCACTAAATATAATAATAATAAATAATATATTATAATATAATTTACTAAGGTCAACTTTTTTGAAATTTAGCAAAGACCGCAAAATGGCCCTGCTGCAGTTAGGTTCGGTGGAGGAAGCTGTAGCTGCATTGATCAAGATGCACAACCATCAATTGTCCGAGTCGAATCATTTGAGAGTTAGCTTCAGTAAGTCTAATATTTAAGGAGATATTTAAAAAACATTAAATAAATAGTACTTTCAAATCCTTTTGAATATTTTTGTGGATACATACATACATATTAATGTATAATATTGAAAAAATATCTCATGTGCAAATACCACGTGCGCCAGCAAAGTATTTTAAAAACATGATTCAATATCTGTAATATCTTAAAATAAGTGTTTTGTAATAATCAGGGTTTAACTGAACATCAGGGACGATTTTATTCCTTAAACTTTCTCTATGTCTCATTAATCAGTGAAGGAATTTTCACATTTTAGTTTTATTATTGAGGCTTTTAATTATGAATTTTTTTAAGTTATCACAAATTAATTTATAGAATAGCATAACTACTTTTTTATTTAATGAAATAGAATTCTTACTGATTTATTTTACTAAAACTCTTCATTGTCGATATATTTTATTTAAAACCTACATGAATTGAATATGAATTTCAAATATGTGCAAAATATTTTCATTGATAAACATAGAGATTCGGTGCTGTAATTAAATATAAATATATACTGATCGAATAATAAGGACCACTGTAGTATACATTAGTATTGAATATTTCTAAAGTTTTAATATTAATAAAAATGTAATCATATGCTTATATTTGGCATATGACGCTAACACACTGTCAATTATATAAAACTTGGATGAATCATTAGAGGAGGTATAAATAGTATTATATGAAATTAAATAATAAACCCAATTGTGATATGGGGGATTCCATATATGTGTAATTATACATATATGCATGTATGTATACACATAAATTCAAATCGTACTGTTTGAAAAAGAATTAAGTGAAGGACTCGAAATCTCAAATATACATGTGTAATGACGTCAACAGTACGCCGGTGCATTGTGCATTTAATTTATATCAGGTGATATATAATATTGTTTTAGTTTGTTTATATTTTGTTTCCAATAAAATTGATTATATTTGAAATGTTTCTATATTGCTTGATGATATATACTGTTTGTATATATACATGCAATTCAATTGCTTTTCCAAACACATACTTTATTCATAAAATTAATTCCGATTTGAATAATGGTGTGAATCGGTACTCCATGAGTAGGAATTACATTTGTGAAATAAAGTTTTGTTGGCAAAGCTTATTAAACTACATAAAATTAATTTATGAAACATGCGTTAATGATATTAAAATAAAAATTATATATATAAGTTAATTAATATTAGTACAGATGATCAATAAAAAGTAATTTGTACATTTTGAGAAGATATATCTGTTTATTTAACAGAAGCAGCTTAAATGTAATTTACATATAAAGAAAATTCCAGTATTAGACTATTGTACTATATGAGTAGAAAAATCAATATATTTTCAACATTAGAATATGAATATTTTGAAAATGAAAGATGTGACAAATTAATGATTATACTCTCGAGGACTACTAGTCCTTGTTGTGGGCCCAATTACAGTTTTATATCCTTTGTTGAATTTGACACGATCTGCTGAAAATAGCGTTGTCTTAGAGGTATATATATATTTTGTTTATATTGCTAATATTAGATAATGAATTATTTACTGTTTATATCTTTATAATAATGTTGTCAGTTAGGTTCTGTTACCTTTGGGTGTGGTACAAATTTAAAAAATAATATCCGATTTGCTTTAAACAAAATAACATTTATGTACAAAGCAATATACAGCAGCTCATTATAGGCATACGATTGTGTGCTTATGAGATATTCATTGTTGTTGTGATCAGTAAACATGTGATAGCCGAGATTTCATGCTTTTGAGATTCACAAGATTCATAATAGATTATTTTGTCTTTTATTGGTTTGAAAAGCCTTATCATGACCATCATGTCATGAGTTTAATTTAATTTGATCCTACTTATAAGAAAATTTGATTAAATCAGAAAAATTTATTGGAATCTCAAGCTAATCTAGTGTATCCCTAGAACTCTGATGTTTTAATTAAATTCAAAGCAGATACATGACAAAAGTTAGATGTATCAAAAGATACTTAAATATTGTTACAGAGATGTGAATTTTTTCTTCTATGGAATACTTTTAAGTATCAATTTTGGGCAGCTTATATTGCATATCAGGCTGTTAAGTTAGTATTATATATTACCTTTTATTTTTATTGCAGATAATTGGAGTATTATTATTATTAGTGTTTTTGATGTCATACATTGATATTTTGATTTGATAATTTATCTTTTAGTTTTGTATTACAAGTATTACTGAAGAATTTGCTAATTGATTTGTTTGGGTGCACGATACAACCCAGTACTTGTTTTAATTTTAATAGATTTAAGATATGTGCATTAGTTATATGATATTTTTTATTACTATATTGACAATCAGAGTAAGCATAAATTTGGTTGGAAATTAATTATATATAAATATATATTAGTATGCCTATTGCAACTATTGTAGTATACTTGTACCTAGTACATAATGGCAAATTTGATGCGCTTATATAATATGTATAAGTGTTTATAGGCTTATGTATACATATGGTCATGTTGTCTGTATATATATATTTTATATACTTATAAAATGATACAAACACATAAATCAAATATTTAATATAGCAAAAGGTTTTGATGGTTAATCTCGATGTACCTTACATAATTAGAATTTTGTTTTGATACCATTTTAAATGTGTACATTACCAAAAACCAGATAGAGTGTTGTTAATTTAATTCACGCTTCAAAATTGAAGACTTCTCAGTTTTTCTTGAGCATATTCTTTGCTATCATAAAACTCGTTAGGTTGATAAAAAATATATCCCAGTGCATGAATAGTCATACTTATTTGTTGTATATTTTTTATGTATGGTCTCAAGTTTATATGATGAATAAGATTATAATCAAAGATTGTACACTGATATGTAAATAGCCATAAAAATGCTGACAATCAAATGCTAAAACATAATTGTGATAAATTCTCTTTCGATTCAGTGTTGTATAAATTTTGGTGTTGCACATAAACTACTTGGAATGTGTTTGTGTTATTATATTTGTATATGTAAACCTATATTCATTGATGGATAAGTGATTTATATCATTTTTGAATGATGAGTTTACATAAAAGGGTGATGAAAGTGTTTGCCCGATGCAAGAAAATGATGAAGTATTGTATCATCTGACCATGCCAAAACAGTCAATTTATTGTATCATGTTTTTTTTTTATACGCTTTTGTTATGATAAGACAACTGATTACAATATTAGACTTTAGGCCCATATAATTTTTGAGGTCATAATACTAAATATGATGTATATTCTATAATTTTTATTGAATCTTGAATGAGAATACTCTTTCATACATAGAGGGTGTCCCAGAAGTCAACTTCGAGCTAAAGCTTGTTGACTGTATTGATGGATTGTTTTAGTAGCTTTTAAGTACAATTTAGAGGTAGCCAATGCTCCAGTACATTTATATTGGTTGTCTATTATTTAAACCCTATTTTGTGGTTCTAGAAATGTTTTTCAGGGTTACAATTCCGAAGAAAAATTATAGAAATCATTAACAACAATAATTAATTGATGGTCACAGTTGATTAAAGCTCTAGGTTGTACTTAAAAGCTCATAATTTTCAAACTGCATTTTTTTCTAATTTTTTTTTCACGATACTGTCACTTTGTTTTGGCTTGGCGTTGATTTCTGAGACACCCTGTATAATGCAGCTATGTATTCAAACATACAATTCAAGAATAGCATTTACCTAAGGTTGTTAATTAATATAGATACATTGCATTGAATATAAATCATGCTGTTTCATATAAATCTCAGAAAATTATGTGGGCTTGTGGTCTATGTTCTTTTCTATTATAGTATAAATAATACATTACAGAACATATTTTTCTATATATATTAATATGTAATACATACAACTCCAAACACTTGATGGAAATATGTAATTTTGATTTTTGACAAGCTTAACTAATGGCTACTTTTCCTTGCGAGATTTGAGCCGGTACAGGGTCTGTTAAAAGTTCTTCTCTTTATAAATATTTATTGTTCTTCCTTATATTAAGTACTAAAAATTTAGATAATGATTTTGAAAACTTTGGGATCAATTCAATGTTATGTACTATTATAAAATAAATTCTTTACTTAACACATTTGTAGCGAGGGCATTTACAGTAAGTTACTGTGTGAATCGAATCTTAAAATATTCAATATAATGGTTTAGGATTAGATCTAATTATAATTCTCATTTATATGGTATTACATTCATGTGAAATATTAACTTAAATTATCTAATCTTGAGCCTTCTTTTCAAAATTACGTGGTGTGTGAGGGTTTTCTTATTCTATGGCTATATCTATATTTATATATTTCTATTGAATTCTGGTGTTGTATAATCAAATGCAATTTTGTTTGTTTAAATTGTGAACTATATAATATTTTATTATTACTTTAGTATGTAATAGATTATGAAATTTGCATTGATATATCATAGAATAATCAAATTCATAACAGTTATATCTAGACTAGTGAGTAGAACTATTATTAAAGAAATGAATAGATACTATATAGCATCGGTACAGAGAACTTTCGATTGAAATCGTTTTGTTGACATATAGAAACAATCATATGCTGCAGGAGATTTTCAGGCATCAAATTTTGTATTACGATATACCTACAAATTAAGTTTTAAAATCATTCTGTTTGTGGACCAAATTCTAAAGGTTGCCAAGACGGTGGTTGCTTGAGGCATTGACAATCGTAGTTCAATATTATAGAAAATCTTAAGTTTTGTTTCAATGTGAAATATATTTTTTATAAACTCTTGTATAAAGACGTGTTTCTCAACCAATATCATATGTGCATCGCGCAAATTTCAATATGTGTATTAAATAAATGTGTGTAGAGGTTTATTTTTTATGTAATTATCGCGCATGGCACTGCTAAGTGGACCATCGGTTGAGGATCTCGCAAATACGTGTGATAGAAAATTATTGTTATAATAATGTATTTCATATCAAAACTATTACGTTATTTACCCTGTGTTAAAGCTCACCTTCTTGGCATTAAAAATTGGCCTAATCCGTGATATCGAGTTTATTCATATCGGTTTAAAAAAAAAACTAGTTGAAACGGTTGCAATCGAAAGTCGCCAATGAAGAAAATATATAAATCTATAGAAATATATTTAATCTTCGACATGTTCAGCTATCAAGTGGCCGTTTTTATTTCAATATGGGGGTCATTGATAACAGAGATGATTTTACTCTAGCTTTTTGGAAACTCACAGTATTTTGTAGGTGGTAGAACGATAACTTTAAATAATGTAATTTT